TAGGTTCACCTAGGCCTAACTTCTTAAACAATTTATAGGGCATGACATTTATGTTAGCGCCTAGGTACACAAATGACTTTCCTACACGCATACTTCCAATAACAAGAGGGACAGTAAAACTCCCTGGGTCTTTGCACTTCTCAGGCAGCTTGTTTTGTAGGATTGTAGAACACTCCTCGCTCAGCATCACTGTCGACAGATCCCCAAGTTTCTTCTTGTTGGTGAGGAGATCCTTCATGAATTTCATGTACTTGGTCATCTTCGATAGTGCCTCCACGAACGGCATATTGATGTCGACCTGCTTCAACATTGCCATGAACTTGGCAAACTCGGTCTCCAGCTTGTCCTTGTGCATACGAGTGGGGAAGGGAAGCTGGGGGACATGCTCCTTAACCACTGGTTGTGGCCTTGTGCCTAACCAGAGCAGAAACAACAGTCGTAATCTTGCTACTTCGAGTAGTAATGGCATCCAACTGCTGGTGAGGCTCGCGAGGATTTGAGATGGTGCTGGCAGGTAGAGTTCTCGGTGCTCTGGTGCTGTTGTTCCGGGCTATCCCTCCAATCTGGTTCTGGAGGTCCTGGAAACTAGCACTCTGGTTTCTCTGACCTGCCTCCAATGCATTGGATTTCCCCATAGAGAATTCCATGAATTGGTCCATCCTTGCGAACTTCTCCGTACTGGTGCTCACGAAAGCCGTCACCATATTTTTCAGCTCAGACATCTGGTCACCCTGTGTTGGGGCTGCTGCTGACTGTGGGAATTGCCTCTACTGCTGCTGAAAGGGTTTCCCCTATCTGGGCTGGAATGGCTGCTGTTGTGCAAAAATGGACCCTATCGGGTCTGGTACTGCTGCCTCTACTGAAAGCCACCAATCGGTGCTGCAAATCTAGGAGATTTGGTGGTGCTGTTGTTGCCACCCCAGGAGAAATTGGGATGCTGGCGCCAACCCTCACTATAAGTACCACTGTAGGGGGTCGAGGCACCGAGCATTGGTAATGAAATCCAACTGCTCCTTGGTGGTGGTGGACTCCCTCATAGCTTGACAATCCTCCACCAAATGGTTTGAACTTTCACACCACTAGCACTGGACTATAGGAGGTGTGGCCATGCCTCTGCCTGGTATGAGGTTGTTAGGCTATTACAATGTCTAAACTAGCTCTGCCACCTCTCGCTCAATACCTGATCTAGCCTCCATGGCATTTACACCTGTCTCTAGAGCTCCTACCTATGGTGGTCTGCCCCCAAGAATGATCTCTGGTGGCTAAAGTACTGATCATCTGATTCAGCTCGGGTGGAGTCTTAGTGAGAATGTCTCCACCCTGACACAAAGACTTAATCAAACTCTGACTCTCTAGGGATAGAGCATTGTAGAAGTTCCCCATGGTGAATACATCACTGCAACTGTGGTGGGGACACTTCCAGAACAGTCTCGAATACCGCTCCCAAGAATCTAGTAGTGACTCATCATCTTCCTGGCAAAAATGAGTGATCAACCGTTGAATTTCCGAGGTCTTTGAGGCTGAATAGTACCTATGCACGAACTTGTTGGCCAGATCGTCCCAAGAAGTGATGGACAGTGTCGGCTGAGTCTCTAGCCACCTCTTTGCATGCCCCGCTAGAGAGTGGGGGAAGAGGTGAAGGCGGATTGCGTCATCCGGGACACCGTTCAGCTTGAATCCATTGGTCAGCTGCAAGAACCGAAAAAGGTGCACCCTTGCCTCTTCATCCTTGAGCCCATGAAACTGGATGGAAGATGTGATCAACTTGATCCAGCATGGCTTGATCTCAAAGTTGTTGGCAGGGATGGGCGGATACTAAATGACCGGGCGGATGTCAGCCATTAGGTGGGACTTGATTCACCGCAGGGACTTGGAGGGGCATCCCTAGAGGTTGTTCTTGATTCAGGTTTTTCATCTAGTTGTTTCCGCCTTAGCTTGTCTCGCTCACTGTAATTTCTTAAGCTGGCAACAAGTGCGCTCAAGTTCTGGATCCAACGGTGGTAATGCTCCCGACTGGCTACAGGTCATGCACTACCTGCACAAAGCTAAGCAAGCAAACATCGTGAAGGCAAAAGTGGGAAGAAGCAAACATAATAATGCAGAAAAGGAATGCTAAAGTAACAGAAACCACGTTTCTTCAACAACCTAGCCATCCCCGGCAACAAGGCCTAAAACTTGACTCGCCTATACTATCACACTAGAAAGTGGCCAAGTGTAACCACCTACTAATGCGTAGTATAGCGGTTTAGCTTTATTTGTTAACCCAGGTACTAGATGTGATAACTACTCCGTGAATTCTTGTTATCTAGCTGTTTAATGGTAGTGAGGTTGTAACTAATCTAAACAAAACACAAAGGAGTAAAGGTTGTGGTTCAAGTTTGAGAGAGGTTACACAGATATGGTTCCCCCTAGATTGCAGTTAAACCAGGTTATAATTCACCAAGTCCAGATTTAATGACAGTTATACTGCGGAAGGTTCTTAATCAGTCTGAAGTGCCGACTAAAGGTATTCAGACCCTCTCAATCTGAATACAAGGTGGGCGACTAACCGCCATCGGAGTAAACAAACTGAGGCCCTAATGTGCAAAACCTCATCTACTGGAGTAAATCCAATACTGAATTAATTCCTTGACTAAAGTAGTCAATTCTCCACCTTCAACTAAGGGTGTTCTGTCAACCTAGACAGATATTATTTTTCTAGGTCAAAGTAGGAACTACCAGAATTTGATCAGGATTCAAGCAATTCAGTAAATCTTGCCTCAATTGAATATAATCAATGTTAGAAGATCATGTATTTGGGTTAATACAACCAAGCCTAACGTACAAATCTAGGGTTCTTCATACCCAGATGAGAGAGAGAGAGTTTACTCTATAGAGAGAGAAGAGAAATCAGCTTCAGATGCAGAAATCAATCTTTAGAGGATGAAAATCAGCTTCTGATTGTCAATCGGCACTTCTCCAGGCTTAAATCGAGCTCCAGTGGCGTCAAAACTCGATCTAAATCACCTTGAAGGTCTGGCTCGTCGCTCTCTCTCTAGGTTTCACTTTCTTTCTATAAAACTTGGATGATAGCCTAAAACCCCGAAATTCGCATTTAACAGCTGCAGCTCCCGAAAACCTGTACAAATACCCGGTCGGGTATTAAGAGGACCGGCCGGGTATATATGAAACGGTGCGCAGCAGTCAATGGCAATACCCGGCTTCCTATGAAAATACCTGGTCGAGTATTTAGGGCTCTCGACCGGGGGGCCTTCTGCTTCTCCAGGTCTCCCAGCCGCATATACCCGATCGGGTATTTGAGTGACCGGACATGGTAGTTTGCCCTTCAGCTCCTCATTGCTGCCAACCCTCCATTTTTTACCCAAAACTCGCTTCCAGGCCTCTCTTTCTGTGCCAAGTCTTGAAATTTGACATAAACGCACAATCTAGCGTGAAATCGACTTAAAACACGAGAATCGACTCTCAAACAGTTCAATAATAGTGGGCAAATCATGTGCAGATAGCGGTCTATCAAATTCTCCCACATTTAACTGTTTGTTTGTCCCCAAGCAAACCTGACTCAAACCAATGCAGCTATCCAGACCTCTATAACACCACGCAACCCCGACGTCGGTAGAGCATTTCGTAGATCATTTAGCAACTTATGAGGTCAACCGATTTTCTAAGACATCCCCTATTTCCCTCAATGTGAGTACTAGACTCACACCAGGATCATGTGAAGCAACACCACGCAACCCCGGCGTCGGTAGAGCATTTCCTAGATCATTTAGCAACTTATGAGGTCAACCGATTTTCTAAGACATCCCCTATTTCCCTCAATGTGAGTACTAGACTCACACCAGGATCATGTGAAGCAGTGAACCTAGGGCAGACAATTCATGGACAAAGAGACTCACTCACATAACACAACAACCAAAGACTCTCCATATCGGGTGCTCTTCCATTCCATTTCACTCGTTGGAACCCCTTTTTTCCTTATTAATAAAAAAAATTAAAATTTTTCCTACCCTCATATCAGCTTCGCACGACCCATCTCCCCCGATTTCGATTTTAGGGTTCTTTCTCATTGCTTATAAATACTCTTCCCCTTTCCGATCGATGCAACGAGTACTCTTCTCCATTCCCACAAATCTTCTTCCCCAAATCCCCTGATTTCGTGGCCGACCAAGTCCCCGGCTTCGCTTCCTCAAGCATCCCAGCCTCTCTACCGATTTGCGACACCACGATTCGTTGGAATTGATTCATAGTTAACAGGTTGTCTCTCTGTTATCTGGGTTTTCTATTCACGATTCTTGGGATTGATTACAAATCCAAAATCACAGAAGAAACCCATGGTCGTAGGCAAGGATAACAAGAGTCAGTGAGTGGATAACAAGCTCCAGTATGTTTTTACTCACTCCGCCGGCAGCAGATCTGCCGCCACCGACACTCTTCGTAACTCGCGGCTCTCCCTTGGCAATAAATCTACCATATAACAAGCTTTAGGGAGGGCAGAAGCTCGCCGGGGTGGTTGATAGTGCATGGGGTTTAATCGAGCAAAATCATCTCATCTTCTTTGCGGGATCGCCTGCGTGACTGAGAGCTCGAGTGAGACAGTGCACCCCCTAATGTCGCCGGCAGATGCGCGTTGTTTTAGAGCCTAGGTCATCGACGGGGGGTTCGGACTTTAGAGTCCCTTCGTTCTCAGTCTGGGGGCGGAGTGGTTCAGTCTCCGGTTGCTCTCATCTAAGAAGAGTAAGAAGGGGATGAACCAGTGGAGACGAAGGTAGCAGGAGGAAGAGATGAAGGTCGGAGGTTTTCAGTGAATGAGTTTGTTTTTTTATTGTGGTGAAATCCTTAATTTTATTTTCTCTCACAATTTTTTTTATTTTCTAAATCCACGTGGATTTTTACAGACAAAATTGAACGGAAGTGCTCGCCACGTCAGCATCTCTGTTTGTCTATCAGACTTAACGCTAACACACCGTTAAAGAATTGGACGGAAGTGGCTATAAGTGGCATTTCTCCAAATTGGACTATTATTGGTACAAACGCGAAAATTTTGCATATACAAGTGTATTTTGCCAAAATAAAATAACCTCATAACTATTGACTACCATGAGGCTTTATTCAGTTATATAAACGTGTAAGTATACCAAAGACGAAATAAAAAAAATTGCAATATTACATACGGGATGGAAGGGGAAAAAACAATCAATAACTGCCACACATCTTACAACAGGAAAGCTTTGGGGCAGAGGGGCTTAATTGTAACATTTGGTACAGAGTCTACAATAATGGCAGAGACCTATCAAGGTGTAATTACCTGACCAGGAAGTTGCAGCATGAAGAGAGTGCAGGGTTTTGGGGTTTCTTCTTTCACCGCCAGTTGTAACGTCGCTCAGTTTAATCTGATTGCTCTTCTCTCTTCTTGTTCCAAATTCTGATTTGCAGTAGCAACCTCCATGGAAGAAGAAATGATAGAGGCTATCAAACACAATGCACCAGAACCAACATTACTCTTCTTTGCAATTTTTATGCATACTCTGGATTAAAGGCTAATGCCTCCCTGTAAATCATCTCCTTCATCTGTTCTTCTACCAAGGGTTGTTGCTCGAAATCGAAAGAGAAGGATTCTAGACAGACCGGCTCGTCTGCTATATCATGCAATCGTTCAAGGTATGGGTGTGCTAATGCTTCCTCGACTGCCACACAGAGAGATACAGTGTTAGCATCAAGTGGTGACGTTCAAATCATCCAGACTTTTTTTTGAACTTGGGAAAGAGTTTGTTTGTTCGAGTCTTTGGAAACTCACCGGTAATTCTTCTTGTGGGATCAAATGTCAGCATTTTGTCCACAAGATCCATGGCCGAAGGATGAACATGAGGGAAAAGTTTGGCCAATGGCTGTCGAGGGTGTGGGCTGAGCTGCCGGATATATTTCCTAGCATCTTCATTTCTCACAAACCCTAGCTCAGATTCGGTTGGTGTGCCCAGTAGCTGAAGGGGAGAAGACAAAATGAAACCACATTCGATTATTAGATCAACTGAACATTCAATCCCCAACAACAACAAGTTCCCCTCTTTAGATTCAAAGGCACCCTCCGTGTTCATTACCTCTGTCAGCAATCGCATCTGATGGACATGATCTTTGCCAGGAAACAAGGGCTTTCTGTTCATGAGCTCCATGAAGATGCAGCCCACTGACCAGACGTCAATTGCTGCGGTGTAATCCTGACTGTTGAGCAATAGCTCGGGCGCCCTGTACCACCTCGTAACAACATACTCCGTCATGAACTCGTTCTCGGAAGTAGGGCGCGCCAGCCCGAAATCACAGATCTTTAGGTCGCAATTTGCATTCAAGAGGAGATTGCTGGGTTTCAAATCTCTGTGGATCACATTGGCAGAGTGTATGTACTTCAATCCTCGGAGTAACTGATACAAGAAATACTGCAACAAAAAGAACATCAATCCCCTCGCATCATACACGCGAGCCATCCCCGTTAAAAAAACGAACCAAATCGCAGCTTTACCTGGCAATGCTCCTCGGATAGACCTTGATTAGAGCGTATGATCTGGTGTAAATCGGTGTCCATGAGCTCGGTAGCTATGTAGACATCAGTAAATTCTCTCCTCAACGGCGGAGGAACCACGTCTCTGATGGCGATCACCTGTTATCAAACCGACCCATCACAATCAGACAAGGCGAAAATCCCACCAAACCCTAAAAGTCCAATTGAATAGAAAATGGAAGCGCGATGAGATGAGATGAGATGAGACCACCGACGTTTTCGTGATCCAAATGGCGGAGCAGCTTAATCTCGCGGAGGGTGCGTTTGGCGTCCATGTGGTTGTCGAAGGCATTAGCTATCTTCTTCATCGCCACCATCTCGTTCGTCTCCGAATTCAACACCGAGCTGCAAATCACAGAAATCCCAAATCAAAACCCACAATCAAAAGGAAGGGGGAAAATCCAATCAAGAGATCATAAAAAAAAAAAAAATCAATTAGAGAGAAGACGATGAGCTCCAGTACCAGACGATGCCGTAGGCGCCGCGGCCGATGGGCATGATCGGAGGCCGGTACTTTGGGGTGATCTCAAACTGATTCCCAAATATGTTGTACTGAACAAACTGACCACCGTGAGAGGGAACCGCGGGGCACTGACCTCCTCCGCCTCCGCCGTTGCTGTGCGGGTAACCAGCCATGTTTCTTCTCCTCCTCCCTTCTCCCCTGCCTCTGAGCTCACTTTGTAGTGCGGGGAGTTGCTTCGATTTTTCGAAAGCTGATTACTTTAGGGAATAATTCTGCGGCTCAAGGGAAATACCAGAGATTGGATTTTATAAATACAGAAATGAAACGGGAGAGAAAGAAGGCTCAGTTATTTGACTTTTGCTGTTGAAGTGGAACGAAAATGACAAATGATGAATGGAATTGCAGAGTTCCTCCTGAGTAGATGCGAGGAAGGGGAAGCGGGAAAACGCGACACGAGAGACGAGACCCCTTTTCTTTTTTTAATTTAATAATAAAGTGTTATCTTCCTAGGTTTGGACGTATTTGGCGGTTAATGGGGGGATCGACGGCCGGCGTAAGAGCCGCCTCCGTTCGATCCACGGCGGCTGTGGTTTTCATCAGTCCTTGTCAACGGTCCATCTAGTAGTCCAACCACTTCTTTGATCTAACAAGTGGCCGGATTCAAGTATTAGATGGTCCACTCCCTTCGTGCCATATTTGTTGGCATTCTTACTTTGTATTCCCCCCTATGATTAACGTGGAGATTGGGGAGTAATGCTTCTATGACGATGCTTCGTAACAGATTGGACTCGTGATCACTTGAATTCGTGCAGGTTATTGTCAGAGGTTAGCACGTATCACCAACTATCCAATTCTAAGTCAAGTTTAACCTAGAACGACATTATTGTATAGTGGTAATTAAGGTCGTACTACTCGGGTCCTGGTACCCTAGCCTACCTTGTTGTTAATCAGTTAATCGGTTTTTTGAGGTTTTGAGTGGGGGATATGAGGAAACACTGGTCTAGAGGTTGATCAAAACTAAAAGCAGGTACTTCGGGGAACTATCTCTCCCTAGCTTAGGGTCACTATGCAAATCTAGATACTTAGGGTCATCGAATGTAGTGAGTGAGCTCTTTTCCGTTGGCTTTCGTAGTTATCCACATGCCTCCGAGTACTTAGGGATGGCAGTGAAACCCGAACCCGCGGGTACCCAGCCAGACCCAACCCTATCAAAACGGGTAAAACCCGTGTTGACCGGGTTCGGATCGAGTTCGGGTTTAAACCCGGTGTGTTGTTGTGCGAGTTTGGGAGTACCCGCCCCGTGGATATCCGGCTACATTTAGTAAACCCTACAATTGCCCCCCAATTCCCAGACACCCCGCCGCACCCGCACGCCCGTACCTTCCATTCCATCCCTCTCCTCTCCGGCTCTCCCTCTCTGAAACCCCGCGCGCCTCCACCTCCCTTCCCGACTCCATTCGCAACGGTCGCCGCCCCACCCAGAGCCCTAAACCTCCCGTCCAGCCGCCCTCCCCTTGCTCGGTTGCTCCTCCTCTGCTCCGCGTCTCTGTGTCCTGACCTCCATTCCCGACGTCCGAGGAATTATCCTAGGGTACAAGATGTATTGAGACTTGAACTTTGATTGATTCTCCTATTTCTCTAATATTGTCTTGTTAGGATGTCAGGAAATGGGTTACTAAAGAATGGTCTTACAGATCTTTGATTTCTTGTATGATGAATATGATTAGCTAGTGTAGGTTTCAATAATGGTGGAAATCTTTCTAAGGTTTAATTTTTTTTTTTTTAGAGAGAGATTAAGTGTTGGTTTTGTTGGTGATAATTAGTTCCAAGGAAAACCAGTACCCCAACACTTCTTTGATCCAGATTGAGGGGGTGAATACCAAGGAAGAGGTTACTTCAGTTGCACTTTGATATTTTTGAATATCTAGTTTTCTTGTACCCTGTTGTCTGAAGTCTTTCTTTTTGTTGTTCATTAGGTTTTGAAGAAGTTTGCTTGTCTTAGAGGAGCTGTTGCATACTTGGGTTCTTCGATATAGGTTGAGCTTTGATTTCTCTTGTACTTTTCTCTTTTTGTCATAGACCGTTTTGTTTTGTTTAGCATGGTGGATTAAGATTGTACACCATTTCCATCTATTCCAGTATCATTAATCCCCAATCAGATGTTCTTGTCTGAATGCTCTAGTAATCAAATCATCCTTTGAACTTTGTGTTTCATTATTGAGCGGAGAGTGAAGCTAAGATGACAATGTTCAAGTTCTAAGGAGGAGGAAATTACAATTAATCATGTTGTTTATGGATAATGTGTGACTTTCTTGAATTTTCTAGATTGGTGTTGAACAATTTGTATGGATAGTGTGATTTGCTTGAATTTTCTAGAATGGTGTTTTATGTATGTATAGTTTGTGTGGTGAGACTTATGCTTGATTTTTATTTAGATAGTTTCTTGTTAATTGTTATTGTAAAATTTTTACCACAAAAACCCACGGGTACCCATGAACCCGCGAATAACCAGCGGGTTGGGTTGGGTTTGAGTTTTTCAAACCCAGTGGGTTTTACCCTGGGTTTTTTTGTGTGTGGATAAACCCATGAGTTTGGGTTTGGAAAAACCCGCCCCAACCCGACCCATTGCCATCCCTACCGAGTACGCCTCCCCTAAACCCATGTTCCAGTCACCTCGATCTAGACTATCGTATTTGATGCATTAAGCTTATGGCTCATTTCAATGGGCACTATCCACCGTCCGTGCAGAGGTTTCATCCCGAGTTTCATCTAGGAAGGCTACCTATAGCAAGGGTTCGGTCACCTAGACCACCATAGGCCCCCATTGACATGTCTAACATAAACTCGCCAGATGGCACACACCCGTCTAACCCTAGAACTCCGTACCCAGCGCGGTAGCATAAAGTAAGCTAAGAGGGAATATTCGGGCCAATTACCCAAGCGTCATCATTTAGAAGAGAGTGGCATTAAAATCAACTAGACAAACACACCGTCCATGCAGAGGTTTCATCCCGAGTTTCATCTAGGAAGGCTACCTATAGCAAGGGTTCGGTCACCTCGACCACCATAGGCCCCCATTGACACGTCTAACATAAACTCGCCAGATGGCGCACACCCGTCTAACCCTAGAACTCCATACCCAGCGCGGTAGCATAAAGTAAGCTAAGAGGGAATATTCGGGCAAATTACCCAAGCGTCATCATTTATAAGAGAGTGGCATTAAAATCAACTAGACAAACACATTCATTCATTCAAACCCTAAAATATCCATACATAGTAAACCCTAAATCTAGGGTTTAGGATTTAGGGTTTAGAATCTCTGGTACCTTAGAGGACTACTCCATAAAGGAGGGAAGAAGATACACGGTAGAATTAGAAGAAGACTTGGGGTTGAAGAAGATGCATCCTTGCTCTTCCTTCACCTTCTCTATCTTCTCTCTCTAAAACCAAAAAGTTCCTCTTAAAATCAGCTCACTCCAAAAGGGGAAAGGGGTCTTGTATTTGTAGACATTCTAGACTCGGGAAAGTCCGTGGCCTGAGGAAGGGAGATCGCGGGCTAGATCTTTAGTCTCTGGGTTGCAATCTCAAAATGCAATCGTCGAGGCCTTTGGAAAGGGGAAGATCGCGATCTGACTTGGCGGTCACGATCCACGAGTAGAGGTCGCGATCTTCCTCGTGGACAATATGAACATTGGCTGTGATGCGACTGGGGAGACACTCTACTTCTCCAAGGCTCCTTCCACGCAAAGTTCGCGCCCTGGCCCTCCAAGATCGCGGTCCCGATCTATGGCTTCTGAGCCGTGATCTTCAGCTGGTCTTAGTGGCTTATGATCACGACCGTGATCTTTGGCTTCTAACCACGATCTTCAATTCCTGCCCCTTATCTTTGACAATTAATGCTTTCCAAAGTGGAAGTTACTTAAATAAGGTCGGAATAGGAAGAATTGATGGTCGTCTTTAAGTCCATGTGACATAATTCCATTGCCAAAAGGATGGGGATTCATTCATAGCAATTACCTCATAAATCTAAAGTTGTTATTTGTTTGTAGGGAGACTTGATGATACTGTATGCACAAAATCTCATCATTACAGAGCCAAATTTACATGGCTCTAAGGCAAGGATCGTATTTCCCTAAGACCTCTCGCATAACCCTCACTCCGGAAGCGAGGTACGGTTCTATTGAAGAAGAGGGTGAGTTGGTTCTGGTTTTGCAGAATGTAAAATTTTGAGAGTAAACTGTACAGAAAAGTAAATCTATTCTAATGGACGAATGAGATCAGAGAAGGATACGTTGCACAGAAAAGTTTCCCCTAGGTCTCCTAACCATGCGTCCCATGATGATCGGAAGCACACGAATTGTCAATTTCTTATTTTGTTAGATACCACTTTATAAACATTTACTTGAACTAATGGGAGACAAGGACCCTTCAAATTTCTCCCTAGAGGCGTCACGTCGTTATATCGAATGATGTTCGATTGAATAGGATTGTTATTTCTAGTCTCATCCTAAGTGACTAGGATTTCGATCCTTGCACCTCAAAAGAGTGCAAGGTCGACTAATCTCTCATTTGAATAGAAAAATAACAAAATAGAGGAAATCAAACATCAAGATATATGAAGTAAACACAGTCGTATTAAACCAAACATCAAGTTTACATGGTTAGAACCCCTAGGGTTCACATACCTACGCAACTAAAGAACTTAGCCATCCATGGGGAGGGGTTCCTGGGTGTTCATCTATTGAAATGAAGACCCCGGAATGCTCACATGACATGGTAGGTAACAACCTTGGAGTTTCAAATGATCTTGAGTGATGATCTTTCCATGGTAAGCTAACTAAAGAAAGACTGGTATTTTAGTTGAAGCAACTGAACTCCAAATACATTTTTTTTCCCTGGAAGGATTCTTCTAAACCGAGGAAAATATCTTGAGTCATGAACTTGTAGTAAGCTTGAACGAAGAACATGTTATCTGAAAGAATATATTAGAGCTAGTCTTAAGTTCCCAACAACCAAGTGTTAGAATATCAAAGTGAGGGGACCATTATTTAACAAGCTAGTCGACTTATGTGTAGGGTTTGCCGTATCTGACCCTATATATATAATATGTGAATTGTACAAACTGATCACATGAACAAGAATTTTGCTTGGAGAGTTCTATATCTCCTGTTGACTAGTCTTGATAATCTTAGGGAAACCTCGCTAAATGCTTGTGTTCTTTAGTTTTCGTATGATATTTGATATGTTATTAGAACTTTCCACCTGATTAGTTGGTTTGAAAAATCGTGGACTAAGTTCAAAGGCTGGAGTTGATAGGACATCGCTCTAGTGTTTCTTATTCCAGGTTTTGGCAAGTTCCTGCTTGCAGAATCGTGTTTGTTCCAAAGGAATGGAAATTTTGTGGTGGCATTCTTTTATCCACGGGGTTTGCTGCTAGAAGAGTTGTGTAAAGGCTGTTCGTG